TTGGCTGCCTCCTGAAGCAAGGGAAATCCAGTCTGCCGGTCTTCCCCTTTGTGAATGCCTTTCCATCACAGAAAGAATGACACTCACAATAGTGACATCAGCTAACTCCCAACCCTAAACAAAAAATGAAACAAAAACCTGGGGCAAACAAATCAACCAAACCAAAAGAAAGACCGTTTTACTGCAAAATGAGAAGACAGATTCCAGGAAGTCCACTTCCAACTTTGCTATTGATTTTATGCTATTGATTTTATATGGAAGGCATGAATATATCACAGAGATTGGTGCCATAAAAAAAGTGTTGATATAGATAATTTCCCTCCATTGTTTAATAATATGTTGTGTTAGGAGCCTTTAGAAAAGGGATAGGTAATGACAAAATACCATTATGCCACTGTATCAATCCATAGTATACCCACACTTTGAGTACTGCATGCAGTTCTAGTCAACCCATCTCAGAAAGTATATTAAAATTGGAAAAGATACAGAAAAGGCCAAGAAAAGCGATTAACGGTATGAAACAGTTTCCATAGTAGGAGAGATTAAAAAAGACTGGGACTGTTCATCTTAAAAAAAAAAAAGAAGAGGGTAAAAGTGGGATAGGATAGAGGTCTAGGAAATCATGACTGGTGTGGCAAAAGTAAATAGGGAACAGATTTAAAACAAAACAAACATGTTTCTTCACATGCTGCAGAGTCAACCGGTGAAACTTGTTACCAGGGAATGTTGTGAAGACCAGAAGTATAACTGAATTAAAAGAAGAATTAGATACATTTGCTGAAGCTTGATCCATCCATGGCTATTAGTCAACATGATCAGGCACTGCCAGTACCAGAGGACAAGAAACTGGGCTAGATAACCATTGGTCTGACCCAGTACAGCAGTTCTCAGGTTCTTGGATTCTGTGTGCAAAACTAAGGATTTTAAGGAAGATATACAGAATAAATATAGAAAATCATTAAGAAAGATATTGAATAGAACTGTACACAGAACTGATCACTGCAGAACCCCATTCATTATGCCCTTCCAGCATGACTGTGAACCACTTTGACTGGGAATGGTTTTCCAGCTAGTTGTGCATTCACTTTATTGCAACTCCATCTAGATTGTATTTCCCTAGTTAGTTTATGAGGTCTTGTAAGACAATATCAAAAGCTTGACCAAAATCAAGATACACCACATCTACCATTCCCTCCTATCCCCAAGCTTGTTAGAGTCAAAGAATGCCATTAGGTTGGTTTGATTTGATCTTGACAAATCAATTGTTATGTATCACCTTATCTTCTAAGAGTTTGCAAACCCTTGAAGGCTCCAGAATTCATTGGGTTTTAAACTCACCCTATAAGCATAAGCCACAAAAACAAAAGGCTTAGTACCACAGTACAATCACCTGATATCTCCTGTCAGTGCAACCTTGGCCCCAAACTGCCCACTCATGACATAGTGACACAGAACATCACCAAGGTTTACAGATATACCTGTGCATTTCATCTGCTGTAGTTTGCTAAAGCAGTGGTAAAAAGAATCTGAATTCATCTGTCAGTAGCACAAACCTTACATGACTACACCACTACAGTTCAACATGCCGCCTTCACCACAATCAATGCAGCAGAATCATGGTCAACAGGGGTATAGCACCTAATAAACTGGCTTATCAACTCAGATGCAAGACATCAGAATTAAGACTGACAAATGTCAGCATGCTTCAGTGATAAGGACCAAATTGAAATAGGTATGGAAATAACTGGAAAAAAATTACTAGATCACATTACCCAACATAAAACCCCTGAGAGAGTATGACCTCATTACACATGCTAAAATTCAAGAAGTCCTGAAAAAAAAAAGAGAGCTACAACCTGTAAAATGGATCCATTCCATTCATAAGCTGGGAAAGTCAGCTAAGAACAAATATGTCCATTGCTAATGGAGGCAGTTAATTCTACCATTACAGCTTTATATCTGGGTTACTGAGTAACAAGTATCTATAAATGCCTCCTTTCACATCCAGCTTGCTTAAAAACGTCACCGATTTCTTCCAGTCAACAATAAGGCCACAGTGATCCATGAACCTGTTGCACTTAATGTGGGGCCTTCCACACTGGCAGTGGAGGAGAAAGAATGGTAGATTTGTCCCAGAAACAGGCCCACTGAATGAGACCCAATTCTCAACAAATGTGTTGTAAAACTGTAGCACAAATTTGGCTGCTTCATTAACATAATTACTATCTTTTATAGCAGCAATTCTTACCTCTAACTGCACTAGATTAAAAAAGGATTTTCAGACCAAAGATCCAATGCAACCATAGCATTCTTTGAATTTTTATTACTGATGTCAGAAATGCTAAAATATAAAACAAAAGTTATTCAAAATGTTTACATGTTTTTGCTTTTGTTTTGTTGTTTTAAAGTCCCACATCATTCTGTACCCTTCTGATGTTTTTGGCTTGAGACACAGGGTTCAATTAGTAGACACATCTTTGGAAGTCACTGTCCATATTTAGGCCTTGTCAAGCTAGTGACAACTGGGATCCAATCCCCTTTAAAGCAAACTAACAAAAAACTAGAATCAAATATTGTCAATTAAATTATAAAATCTGATAATGAACTGTTAATGTGTTTTTAATATTGGCAGCTGTAAACGAAGAAAAACATTACTAGAGCTGTCTGTTTACTTTTACTTTATTCTTCTACACAAATACCCAAACCACTCACATTAACAATCTTGTCACAAACTAAAGGAAAAACTAACACAAATGCACCACCTACTGTTACAAGTCTTCCCATAAGTCACAGCTATGAAAGAAAAAAAATCACCACATATTGAACATCTCATTAAAAAGACTTGTTATGGTTAAGTTTTCTTGCAGGGCTCTAGCTACATAAGAATATTTAGGGTACAGGCTGCTCACATGAGTATTGATTTGTGGGTCTTGTCCAGTGTTCCCTGTAAGCTATGTGCTTGTGCAGTCACCCAGGAGACATTCAAATACAACCCAACTGATTAGTAGAGTGCCCACAGCTAAGTTTTTTGTTTCTGCTTACTGAAGGTGCACGTTCACACATGCCACCATGCACATTAAAGATTTAAAAGATTAGAGGGAACATTAGTTTGGTCCCTGGATTTATATCAAGCTACAGTTTCACAGGGCATAATCTTTAAGATTACAAAGTAAATTCCACATCCTAGACACCTGATCCTGCAAATATTCAAGCATTTGCATAACTTTAGCATAGGAAGTTAGGAATGTATGTTTATAGGAGCAGGTTCCTTTCAAGTGACCTGAGACAAATGATAAGCTATCAGAAGCTGAACCTTGAAATATCATTCAACATGGTGTTACTTTCAAAATCTGTACAAAGCTCTTTTGTCACACAGGAAGGATAGTTAGTTCAGTGATTACAGTACTAGCCTGGAACTCAGAGGAGTGGGGTTCAATTCCCTCATCTGTGTTTAAAGAACCTATGTGACCTTGGGCTAGCCCTTTTGTTTTTCAGTTCTTTGTGACTCAGTCTCCTTTATATAAAATGGAGATAGTCAAACTTCCGTACCACACAGGAGGTGGGAAGGACTCTGATATTACCATAATAGGAAGCCACCAGTACTTAAAGTAATGATTCGGTGCAGAACAGACATATATTGGGAGATGGGAATTTCAAAAATAATGAGTTAAACTACTTCTAAGGTACTACACCTCCTCCAAGCTACCTGCCCCTTTTCGTTGACTTACAATACATTTTCCTACTTCAAAAAAATTCCCTCCCTTTTTGTTGTGTGAAAGACCTGCACAGACAACAAGTGATTTACTCCATGTTACTCTACAAGCCAGCGGCAGACCTAGAAATTGAACTTGAATAAGAATCCCAGTCCAATATCTTTACCACAAGACAATCCTTATTCTGTATTCAGAAAGGAAACTATTCAGGATAACCATTGGAGCTAGACTAAAGAAATCTAAATTGTTACCAGGGATAAGTTAATTTAAAAAATGATCACCATCATCAAAATCTCTCCTAGCATCACTGAAAATGTTCAGTCAGTTGTGTCCAAAAGTCTATAGCCTCAACCTAGGAAGTGGGGGACCATCTGTAAGTTCCCTAGAACTCTGTAAGTTCCCCAGAGCTCAGAAACTCCCAGGATTGGCTCTTGTGTGAAAAAAGTATCTTCTTATTAAAATAACTGGCTTTGCATGACTTGCCTACTAGTGGTAGTATATTAAAATATAATGTATTGAGCTCCCAAACAGTATAAATCAAGATCACCTACAAGAATGACAGATAAAACTGTTTCTAATGCCTATCTTGGCTTGTCTCTTGGGCAGAGGAGGAGGGGGAAAGGAAAAGGGAAAG